CCCAAGTATGAAAATCCAGGCAGTTACCATTATGGAATTCTAACATTTTCTCATTAATCAAGTGTTAATTTACATAATCAATATCTGCCTGTGTTTCTCTCGTTCTCAATTACATATGTCACAAGCTTGAATAGTCCTATAATGTAATGCAGCTGATTGATAGAATTTCCACATAAATTATGCAAATTACATCTAGGTTTGCATAATTGTCGCATAATTATGTCAAGCGTGACTTAAGCTACCTACATACCAAAAATCATGACGATCCGTTAACCGGTTCTTGAGTTATCCTGTTTTTAAAGAAATGCTTTTAAAGGAAATAAGGGGCCAAAACCTACGTCACTTCATCCTCAGCACAAGACCTACCTACCATCCAAATTTCATCACCCTAGCATGTCTAGATCATGAGATATCAAAAAGTTCCACTGCAGTACCACAACAAACTGCCAGGGGGCCTAAAATTTAATAATTTCGAGGTCTCATCAAGACCTGCCCTCCTACCATGTATGAAGACAACCAATTTAAGCCTTCTTGAGTTATTGTGTTTACAGACACACACACACACACACACACGAACGACTCTGAAAACATAACCTTCTTGCAGTTCTTGGCGAGGGTAATTAGATCAAATTAGGACCGGGGATGTTAAGTTGTAAAGTTTGTCTGAGCCGTCATCTACCGTGATTTCTCCCTGTCAGGACAGGAACATTAATAAGACACACATAACTACGGAGAGGCAGAGCCTTTGGTATAGTACTGCGATTGAGTTGGAAATACATGTAAATTAAGAATTCCACAAATGCATTCCCTGGGGAATTAAATTTTGTCAACAAGATAACTCAAGAATGGCTGGACGGATTGGTTTCATACTTAGTGAGTTGGTAGGGTGGGACATACTAGGGTCATGAATTTTAGATGGTAAGTAGCTCTTGTGCTTGGAAAGAAGTCACGTGAGTTAAGGCCCCCTAGCAGCTTGTTATGGAACTGCAGGACAATTTCTTTAAAAAAACATTTAAGAGAGGATAACTAAAAACCGGTTGACGGATCCTCATGATTTTTGGTATGTAGGTAGCTTAAGTGATGCTTGATGTACTAGTAATTGAATTACAATTATACAAATCAGGATCTAATTTGCATAATTAATCAAGAAATTCTATAAATCTGCTGTGTTCAGTATCAGGGCTATGAAACACTTGTGACATTATAATTGAGAAAGACATTGATTATGTAAATGAAGACCGAAGTTCAGTGAAGGTAAACATCACTAAACATAATTTATTCAAATCAGTCCTAATTTGTATAATTTATTAGGAAATGCTAGAATAGCCTTATCTCTCAAGTGCATGTTTATTATTAAATCCTCGTGAGAAACTTATGACTGGCTCACATACTTAAACAAGCACCTCCACCAACAATAACCAAAACAGACACCATGATCATCACTCACATCAAAAGAGAATCACGTCGCCGAGGCTTGTTTTAAACGCCACTTTATTACCGTCGCCAAGAAGGTTTTGTTGTTGTAGGCGTTTTCGTGTGTGTGTGTCACCACGATAACTCAAGAAGGCTAAGATGGATTGTCTTCAATTTTGATATTTGGTAGGTGTACTAGGTGGATAGGTCTTCATGAGACGTGGAAATGATTAAATTTTGATAGGACTATTGAAGCTTGTGAAATTGGTAATGGAGAACAAGAGAAACACAGGCAGATATTGATCATGTAAATGAAGACTTAATTTGCATAATTAATGAGAAAATTTTGTAATTATGTAATGATAACTGCCCGGAATTTCATACTTGTGGTATTTGAAAGTTCAGTGAAGGTGAACATCATTAAACAATGTATTCAAATCAGGACCTCATTTGCATAATTTATGAGGAAATGCTAGAATGGCATTGTTTGTTAATATATCTGTCTTATGGTTTAGAATATGATAAATTGATATAATTCATTAAAATGAGGGTCCTGTTTGCATAATCAGGGGGAATAATCTACAAATTGTCAGTTATAAAGATAAACATCATTTGGCGAAGGTATGATATCGGGGAAATCTACTTTTCAAATGCTGTAGAAGACTAACGCGAAGTCAGCCTACGAAACATAACGGTTATTAAATGAAATAACTGAGAATATCTGCTGTTGCAAGTTTGTTGGAAATACGAACATGTACACTCAAGGACATAATTTGTTGTCTTACCTGATGAGAATGAGTCCTCTCAACACCACGCCGTTCTTCCCGCCATGTCAGTGGCCATAATTTTCGTTTCTTGTCCAAGTTCGCCCTGTCAGGAAATGCGCATTTTCTCCATCAAATATCCAACAAACCGCATAAATCCAGCCCGGAAACGTTCGTCCTGGTAACTGCACACTTTAAGACGGATAATTTGCTGACAAAAAGCAGAAAATTGACCCTAAATGTTGGGGGAACTGGGAGACATCTCACTGAGCCACACGACAGCGTGCGTCACACAGCGGCAGCTGTGCTGCACCTGGTCAGACGGACCGTACCATGTGTGATTAGATAGGGGTGAAAAACAGCTAATTTTGTTAATCATCGATGTTTCATTCCAAGGAAGTAAAGAGAACTCGTCAAAATAATTCTGCTCCCTGCGAGTATTTCGGACTTGTTTTCTGTGAAAAAAAAACAGCGTAACGTCTTCTAAAGCAAGTGTTGATCTCGAAACTTACTTCTGAATAATTATTAATCAAAAGTTAATTGATATCAGCCAATCACCATGTACATCTTGTACGAACTGTAATGTTAATTACTTAAGGTTTGCTTGAGAAACATACTTCACCTGAAAGTGGGTATCTGAGATAGCCACTTTCAGGTGAAGCATGTTTCTCAAGCAAACCTTATTCTGTATGGAATATATTTCCGATCACAAATGCGTGGCCCAATGGCACAGCCCCTATTGACCGAAACAAGAAGGAAAGATTTTAATTTTCAAAAACTACTTTAAAAAAAAGGAGAAAAAAATTACAGTAGAACTTTCATAATGTTTAGGCCACACCAATTTCATTTGATGGTTCTCAGAATGTTTCGGAATAGCTCAGTTATATTTATATGAAAATTTGATAAAACAGACGCTTTCAACATCAACATATTTTGGTGACACAAAACGTTAGTAGCGTTAGATCAGTACTTCTATAACATTTGTAATGGTGGTCCGGGTAGATGTAAAAGGCCCTTGTAATACAAATGTACTCCTTGTATGTGTTACCTTGATGAAAAAGAGATAAAAAGAACAAATGACTTTGAAATAGCGATGTGTCAAGTTTTATGCATACGCCATTGAGAAACAGCAACTGAAATCTTCCAGTTGTTGTTTATCACTCTTTGTTGGTCATGATTCCGTAGATGACGTTCATGCGAGCGACAGAAATATGAAATAGTATAGTATGCGATATGAGATTGAGAAACGTGGTAATCAAGGACTCATTTTCTGTAGCTTGTCGCTGTTTTGGTTGTTGCCATGGGCAACCACACGCCAAGCAACCGTTTTGAAGTGTCAGAAATATTCAGTGACGTCTGAGCATTGATGAACCTCATTGTAAGATTGTTAGTATACATTAATACATTGTACATGTAATCTACAACCTATTCTCTGGTGATTGGCACTTTGATTCGCAATAATCAAGCCTGACGACAATAGAGATACGTGAAAAATACACTTATCAAGGACCTATTATTTACTGATTGACCATCTGTTAATATATATAAAGACACCCAAAGCAACTTGAAGGCAGTAAAATGTCAATTTTCTGGTCATTTTTTTAGGGATTTGATTAAAAAATCAAATTTGATTTAAAAATCAAATCCCTATCCCAAAGCATACTGATATCTGTGAGGCAAAGATGCGATGTCTGACGAAAAACGGTCGCTTGTTTTCTTCAAACACCTCTCCCATACCGTAAATTCGTTTGAAGGACTTAACTTTACGGTATTCGGTAGCATGGGGAAGGTGAATGTTCGCGGTGTTTTAGCTTCGCAGTTGCAGCAATACACTGGAAACGCATCTTCGCTGTTATTAATTTACTGTGGAGACACACACCGAAAAAACTTGAACAAATAAACAAAAGAATAATAAAAACATGAACATTTCATGACCAAAATTTACAGCATTTTCTTCTCTATTCATGCCAGCACTAATGAACGCCCATTCAATATTTCCAAGTATATCTAAGCCACAATGAAATGTTAACTACATAACAGAAACAGCATGTTAATCTTTGGCACAAAGGAATCAGTGGTTGATTGGCATATTGTATTACATCTTTTTGTGTCTCATACAATAGACCAATCATGTAAATCACGCCCACGTCTGTCCGAACATGAAACATGGATGGCCAAAAATTTGTCTGAGCCGCTCTCTGATTGGTTGAACCGCTACTTTTGATTGACAGTTGGGATGGGCGATAGCTAGTCAGCTGCATTCAGACACTTGTCTTCTTCAGCTCTCTGTTGCGACGGCACCACAGGCTTGGAACCGCTACTCGCCGTCCGAGCGCCCTGATATAGTAGGTGACTAAGAAGAAGGAGAGTTCGTAGGAGGAGGCTACGGAAGACACAGGAGAAGAAAGAGATGGATACCTGACGCGGTAACGCAGTCTTTCTCTGTCTTTTCCCTTCTTTCGGAAACCGCAGACGCCCACTGCTGAGACTCAGGCATAGTGACTAAAAAGAAGGAAAAATAGAGCTGGAAAAAGAAAGATAAGGAAATAAAGGAACAGTAGAAGAAGAGGAGCTAGAGGGAGAAGAGAAATAACCTCGTCACGAGCCCTCCTCTGATCAATTACTTCTTCACTGAACACGTCGGACCGCTAAAAATCAGACATGTACAACAATAGCTCTGTCCTTCCCTTGGTCTTCGCGGAAAAAGAGAGATGGAACGATCCTGTACAGTGTGTCCTGTGGCACGTACAGAACAAGACCACCACCCTTGAACAAGCTGAAGCCGCCTGCTCAATGGACAACATGGATGGGTTGGAAATAGCGCCCGTCGTCATCTTGCTAGGAATCTTCACTATTTTCACTAATGCTCTTGTGATATGGGGAATTCTCGTAACACACGAACTTCACAAACCGCTCTACTTCTACATGTCAAATCTGGCCATGGCCGACATTTTTGGCGGAATCGGACTGATGATCCAAGCGGCGAAGTTGGCCACGATACGCGGGGTCATGACTACGGTGACTTTCATGACGCATAGTCAGGTAATGTCGGCATCGGCTCTAGCCTTAATGTCTGCAAACTGCTATGTCGCCGTGAGGCATCCTATATACCTGCACACCCATGCTCACACTGCCAAACGTAACGCAGCTTTAGCTATCGTCTCTTCGTGGCTTGTTCTGTCGTTGTTCACTTTCTCGCCTGCTATGGGTTGGAACTGTCTTGACATGCCCGTGGCGGACTGTTTCGACTTCTTTCACAAGTCCTATATGGGGATTTTGGTTGCCGTAGCCCTCTTGTGTATCGTTGTCATGCTATTCACAAATATCAGCGTGTACATCGCTATCAAACAAAGGCAAAAGAGAAGGCTTGGGCAGCCAGGAGGGGTCCAAGTAAACAATCAGGGACAAAATATGGCAGGGGAAGATCAGGCTAACAACGACAGACAAGCCGAGGCGGACCGAAAATTTAAGAAAAGTGTGCACAAGGCGAGAACAGTTATGATTCACGTGGTGGTAGCAATTATCCTATGGCTCTTATCTCTTGTAGTAGTTCCCATTTGCGTAGGCGACAAAGAAAACTGTCCGCTTCCCGTTGCCATCCCCGTGCTCATAACTCTGAACTCTGCGATAAATCCCGTCGCTGGTATAGTCCGTACACCAGACTTAAGGAAAGGAATCAGAGAGAACCTTGCGAGTATCCATCGGGCGCTTGTCACCGCGATACGGGGAAACCGTGTGAACCCACAGGGCGAACAACCTGCAACTGTTACGGTAACTGCCATGAGCGTACAGGGCGGTGCTGCTACCAGTGGAAGCGCCCAAAAGACGCCAAAACAGCCAACTCCAAAATACTGCAAATCTGTTAGCCAGGGTAAAGAAAGGACAAAAATAACTCATAGAAACACAGAAGGGCCGAAAACACAGAACGCTAGTCTTCCCATCGTAGAAGCAGACTAGATAATAGAGCATTAAGATACAGAATGACATATGCCAGGAAAAAGGAAACCAGGTTGTGCAGAATACTGATGAACACGTACAACAACTATGGACAGCAATGGCAATCAACACTGTGCTATATAATAGACTAGACAATTTCTGTATAGACACTGTATACAAGTTCACACGGTGTATCTTCATGTGAATGTATCAAAATTGCACTGTATAATATAATATTTCATACCTTATAACAATTGCAGTTTAAGATACTGCATGCAAATTCATGATGTATAATTATCATACATGTTTGGGACAAATATGTTGTTTGTAATATTGCAAGTTTTGCACTTTGTACAGTCACAGACTTTACACATTAAATTGTAAATTGTACCGTGACCATATTCTCGTATTTCTTGTGTTGTGTATGTTAAGTCACTAAATCCACCCAAGCCTTCAGAAACAATTTGCCGGAAATTCTGACAAACGTGTACTAGGAAATCGACACAAACAGTACTAGCGACGGTATGCTTGGATATTTGAAACAACTACTTGTGTCAGAAAGAATATACATATATGACATATATTGTATCTATAAAAGTAAAATCCTTTTGCTAGGATCTCATTTTAATTTTCCATCACGAATTATGCTAATGAACTCACCCTTAATTAACTTATATATGTTATAACTAAAAAAATGCCACCCTTATTCAGGTTAACACTTCTAACACACCCACTTTAAACTTAAAGCATCAAAATGACAACTCAGTCGTTTTTCGTGGATAGATCGGCATACATTTTATGACGCGTTATTAGGAGTAACGACACGCTTCTATGACTCCAAAACTTGTTACATGCAAGTTTATTAGTCAGGTACGCCACCTAGCGTATACAGCAGAAATGCATCAATCATGGTGGTGCACCTGATGATCCATGACGTCATCATCAGCTGGCGGGATGCCGTCCAATGAGCTTGCCTTGTCGGGAATGCCGGAGAAATGTTCCTCCCAATGGTAGTTATTTTGGAAACACCACCGCACGGTGAGATCGTCCGTTCGTCCGGTGTAGTACATGATGTAGAAGTTGCACATCTCGTCAGCATTGGTCTCCCTACGCGTACAATAACAAAACAGACTAGACAGGTAACATTTGTCAAGCAAATGCATAATGATGGCCTAGTCCAACTCAATACTGCTGTTTGTCAAACACATTCTTATTCATTTATATGGTGACTGGCCCCTACAACTGTACTACCACACCTGTAATTCAACACCACATGGTGTCTGCCACAGCATCAGTTACCATGGTGACAGACGTCTGGTCCAGGTCATTGACTTTATTTGTTTATGCTGAGGTCACATTTCCAAACCGGGGCCCGGCCGGGCAGCTTTTGGGGACGAAAAGTACGATATAAAAGACAACAAAACACAGAAACGTTTTTGATGATAATCATGGGCACTATATCTATATACTCTTGATGTGGATTGTTAATACAGACAGCCCGGTCGGGCCCCGGTTTGGAAATGTAACCTAAGCATTAGGGAAGAAGTATGGGGAACCTTGGCAAGGTTTGTGGGGACTATACATTTACCAATCTAACGTTGTTTAACTTACCCAATCTTTGTCACAGTGTCCCTGTCACTTGTCATCGTACAACGCGCGGCCTACACAGTACACCAGAAGACAAATGTAATTCAGACTGGCTTTAAGATCATATCATTATCATAACAACAAGAAGGGAAGAAGCGTAAGTACCATTCAAGACAAATACGTTGTATAACGTTCGAGTTTGCGCATCGAATTTTTGACTATTCTACTGCAGTCCTTCCTCAGAATTCAAGTGACCAATCGTTTGACCAATCCTTACGTACACATGACGCCAATGATTGGTTAAAAGTGACAGAAAGTTGGATGAATACTAGTATTTTGCTTACCAGGACATCACCCTGCAGTACCGACATCCCAGGTGTGGTGGCGTTATAAAACATCTGGAGGGGAAAATGTCAAATGTACGATGAGTGATTGAGACTTTCAACCGCTGGCACAATACTACGCGATCACTAGCTGTGGTAGATACAACCATAAAGACTAGAAAGGCCAATATTTGCTTTGGAGCAAATACAGCGATGGGTTCACCACATTTTACGACATGGCAGGGAAAGAATGAGAAACACAAGGGAAAACAATGATTTACATTGATATAACTATAATATGAAGTAACATACAACTAAAACAACAGTTGGATAGCTATTCCCTACTTTATTGGTTAGGATTTTTAATTGCATAATGCAAACTGTTGATTTTCAAAATAAAAAAAAACGTTCATGCCCCGCATTCCAATGCTGGAGCAGAAAAGCTTGAAATACCTACCAAAACACTTGAATAAAGACATACTGTCAGTATGGAAATGCTCTGTGCAGGTGTTAATCAAGTTAAATCCCAACAGCCAATCAGCAAGAAGTATAGAGGAAAGCTGCATGCCTATTGGTTGATGCCCTGCATTCCATTGTGATGACTCATGCCCAGACGTGGTAAACACGGCACACTAACACAGTAATACATTTGCTATAACACAGCCAAAAAACTCAAATAAAACCATTCTAAAAGCCTGTATCACAAAAATTTAAAAAACGCCTAGGGGTATTTGCCCACTGTACCTCCATACCAAATTTCAGGACCTTAGGCCCTAAAATGAAGAAGCTGAATCCATTTAAAAAATGGCAGGAGAAGGAGAAGAAGAAGAAGAAACATCAGAAAAAGCAATATGGGTTCACCACCACTTCGTGGTGGTGAACCCATAATAAAGGATTGGTCCACAGAATTTTGATATGGTCTCCCAGTGACGCACGAGATTGAAAACGTTCCCGAACTAAATTGTTGGTATACAATTGTATGGCATTGGACCTAATAAAGTTCTGTAAGATAGATAGAAAGACAGTATGGAAAATACCTGTGGCCTCTGGGGAGACATCCGGCCAATCTCCGTCCATTGGTTGTTGCGGATTCGATAGCCTGACGTAACCACCCCTGATGAAAATATAGAGCGTTTCAGCTTTTGACCACCATGTTGGCGTCCTTTCAATGGTTCGTCGGTAAAGCGTACACAGCTTTTCTGTGTTTAGTCGCAATTCTTAAGTATTCGTTTTGTTATTGTTTTCTCTGTAGATATTAGATGTTATTTGGGAGCGTCAGATTATCAAGTCTAAAAGTGCTTGAGCCATCATTCACTGAAACGTTAATTGGGACACCAACATGGCGACGGTCGCAGAGATAACAACGTGAAGGTGGTCTGTACGTGCGAAAGGGTAGACGCGTAGTCAGTTACAGGAAATGATCGGGCTTCAATAGTTCTCAAAACACGGATCGGTGTGCCCGCAAAAAACACACAGTATTTATGGTGATCGACAGGGATAGATTTACGGTCATCTATGCAAACCAATTGGTCGTCTGTGATATAGTCAGGAATAGTGGGATTTTTGCCTTGCGTACAAATCGTATAAAACGTACCCAGACTGTGCGAGTGAGTCCGGTAGGCAATGGGATACATGGGAGATGGATCCGTATATTCACAGGCGGTCTCCATGTGGTAGTCTGTCAAACAAAACAATGAGGAATACCCGTTGTTGTTGTCCATCAGAGGTGAAGCATACGATATCATGCTTTTCCGAGTTGCTTATGCTTCGCTACGGCTCGCACATACCCCGCAACAAGCACAAACGCACGTTCGTTTATTGAAGTAACCAAAAAAAAAAAAAGATTTTCAAGACTTGGAATAGCAAAAGCCATGATTATTCAATGTAGTTAATGTATGCATGAACTTGTTCTGAAAAGGGGCGATTGAATTAAAACAAGATTGATGCTTCCGCCCCTGAGGCGTCACCAAGATATTCCAACTTACTTAATTTAATAATTGTTTATTGATTGATCGAAGATAAAAGAGTACAATCGCTAGCATGTTGCAGCGCAACTAATAAGTAGTGCTGAATTATATGCTAGTTTAAAAACAAAGAAACAAATATTGCACAGTTAACAAATACACGACTAGACAAGTGAGTATTTCACATTTAACATATATAAGCGAGTAAAATGAACTTAACAATATTTACAATATCAACATCATCAGTGTAAAAATTATTAATTATATAGTATGTTACGTGATAACTGATCTTGGGTGGGCCGGTCATGGGAGATTTACTATGTGCCATATTTGTTTAATAGACTTGTAAGATAGGGGATCGGGCTATTTTTGTATCGCTTTGTTCTCGGGAGGGGGGCAAGGAGCTGGTTAAACTGTTTACATTTTCTAACATGGATCGTCTCTCGGCAAGGTGGGAGCCAGGGTCTAAAGGGAGAGTTAAAAAGGGATCTGGCAAATTTCAAACTTAGGTCCTCCCTCCTCTTTTCAAGGGAGGGGAGACCTAGGTTGGATAAGGCGTCGTTATAGCATGTGTACTCAGGACCAAGGGTTATCCGTAATGCACGTTTCTGAATGCGTTCAATCTTCCTGGTTTGTAGGGCCGTAATGCCGGAGGTCCAGATGGGTGCTGCATATTCAAGAATGGGGCGTATATACATTTGGTAAAAATCGATTAGGTCATTTGAAGGGAGCCCAAAACGTTTCAATTTCTTTAGTAGGAAGAGTCGGGAACTAGCTTTGCTTATAATGGATTCAACGTGCTTGTCCCATTTCAAATTGTGGGATAGCCATAGGCCGAGAATACATGCGTCATCTGTATATTCTAGTGGCTTATCATTGACGGAAATTAATTGGGGAGGGGGGCAATCTCGCATAAAGGTAATCATCATTAATTTACATTTGTCAGCATTCAATGTCATGTCATTTTTGGAAGCCCAGACATTTAATTGATCAAGAGATGGTTGGATAAGGCTGGGTTCATAGAGAAGTCTACTTTCACAAACAGAGAGGTCGTCGACATATTTGTATCGATTTAAACTGTTGACTTGGAGAGCATCATTTACATAAATCAAAAACAGNAACAGAGAGGTCGTCGACATATTTGTATCGATTTAAACTGTTGACTTGGAGAGCATCATTTACATAAATCAAAAACAGAATGGGACCTAATTTCGTACCTTGCGGGACTCCAGATGAGATAGTTTTCCATTGTGAGGTTTTACCATGATATCGGACACACTGCGAACGGTTGGAAATGAAATTGCAAAGCCAAGGCATAACCGACGTACGTATCCCACATTCCAACATCTTATTTATCAATTTTGTGTGATTAATCCTATCAAAGGCTTTGCTGAAGTCGGTTAACAAGATGGTCTGTATATTGTTTGGCGTTTCAGCGTTAAGGAATAAAAAATTCGTCATGGTAGTCAAGTAATGAACAGTTGACATGCCTTTTCGGCTGCCAAACTGATTAGGATCGAGGACTTTTGTGACATCAAGGAGAACCCATTTTGCTACGAACGATTCAAGAACCTTAACAAGTATAGACGTGTGGAGGTATGGATCCCCATGTGCCAAGCACGTAAAACCCAGCCTGGAATTTCGGTCTGAAAGAAAAATCGATTGAAGATAAAACACACAACATATTATCATACGACCAGATGTGACTAACCAATCAGGAGCCTGTATTAGATACTAATTATCATTTCGTGATGCCATTGGCCAGTCAACGTGAATAGCGCAGGCATTACGTCACATATTACACATACGGTCGGGACATCAACTCTTTCTTTATGACTCACATACAAGTGTTAGTTTGGAACTCTTTATTTTAACATGAGAATAATATAATGCATCATTTCCCCATGTCATTTCTACACTAAAGACAAAAGCAATCCTAATGCAGGATTTTCACCTAGACGCAGAACAGTCATGGTGAACACTACTCACTGTTTCCTTTGCATGTGCAGTGTGACTCCAGAGTTGTCATTGGTTCCCGCTAGGGGGTTAATACATGTACATAATTATATAATCATAAAAAGTGAAAATGACCTTAGAGCATTCATAGACAACGCATAAAATCAGCACAGGTTCAGCATATGTAGTACATAATGCATATTATTTCAATATTTCGTACATGCGATTGCCTGGTACGGTGTTTGGCAGAAAAAATCACCCAGTAATGTTGGACATTACAGTAATGTTAGACATTACTAGTATAAACACTTGTTTAATGGTCACCTGGCAGCTTGTTCTTGTAGTGCAGCTGCAGTACGATATACTTGATCCGTGTTGTCCCGCCAACTCGGAAGCCGACGTCTAAAACAATACGGTACAGACGACAAGTATGAAGGACAGAAAACAAGTACATGTGACATGCTGCAGATCTAGTGTTCTTCTAATAACGTCAACTGTCATAAGACCACCACATAAAAAAACGTGAATTTGAAGATATCTACCAATGCATGAAGTCGTAATCCCTGAGGTATGCAGACCTCAGATATTCCGCTGTTCAAAACATTCTTGAGATTATGCCTCAATAACCCAATATGGGTCCCCGGCGGACTTCTGAGGGTTGGCATTACTCCATCAATCATAACTAATTATTGTTCGTTGGTGCCAAACGTGCAATCCAATGTAACCCGATATAAAATTTTCTCTTTTTCAAAGATAGATACGAACGGACTAAATCTCACTAGTCGCTAGCCATTATGTATCATAAAAATATACACTATAGTATATATGATATGTGTCTGTAATATATTCAGTATAACCGCCCTTCGGCGTAACACATAAGATTCGCAGGCACGCGGCGCGACGGCAGCTGGATATACTTCCCCGAATGACCTGTTACACCAAATCTTTGAACGTCTAACTACGGGAATTTTTAAAAGTTATCTAGTGATGATGACCCAACTGTAATTGGTAACAGCGAGCTAGTTCCACTCTACGATGGTTCTTGGAAAATTAATACGAATTTTTAAACACATCCTTGGTTGATAGCTCTGATATTTGAAGGCGTGACTGCTTCTTGTTCTCTTCTGAGCTGGTATTTCGTACTTAGTAGTAACTAATGTTTGTATGTACGAAGTAATACCTTCCGGCATGTAGAGTGCCGGAGCGTCCAGGGCCCAGGCGTACACCACCTGGCGGGAGTCCTGCCCCTCCCCGTCCGCACACACCCGCCCGCCTCCCCGGGTCTCCTCACAGTTCCTGAAAAATCAAACAAGAAATCGTCAGACTTCTGTGAGGCAAAATACGATGTCGCTGAAAATAAAGAACGGTTACTTGTTTCGTGCTGGCTAGTTCTAGCTATTTGTTGGTGGTAAAAAAAGGGATTCCTCACGTAGCTTGTTTTGGGACTATTTCAAATGCTTCAATGATGATGAAAATGTGCTAAGAAATGTCAGCAAATGTCAATATCGAACAGAATATTTTTGTATTTCCGCCGTGAAAGTACATTGAATGCCTTTAAAGGTTTGAAATTGAACCAACGACAGTAATGCAATGGAAGACAGAGCATAGAAGGACTACTTTGTAATTTTCAGTATTTCTACAATATAATCCTACCACATCTCGTCAGTACTCCCCGGCTCCTCACACCCGTACAGCATCATGTGATGGGCGATCTCTCCGGACGCATGCGGCTCGTACCCAACTATCGGCAAAAAATCATAGAAATCAAGAAAGCAGCATCATGTTCATCCATCGTCTCTGTGCACTTTCAACGTACTTAAAATACAATGCTCTATTGGCGCTACAAAACCATAGCGAATTTCACAAGATAGTCTACAACTATTGATACGCAAAAGGAAATTATGATTTTAACACGATAATTAAACGAATATGAGTATGTCGATACATACACGCCGACGAAGGTTAAACATACAGGTAATAAAACACATAGGTTACACATGCAACAGGATATGATTTTGAAAACGGTCAGATGTTTCAGGTAGCATTCACTACCTTTTTTTATCAGTGACTTTGGCGTATCAATACGTACAGGTTAATTATCCCGTCCACCTCAGTTTTTTTTAGTAGACTTTCTCAAATTTATCTGTCTATTTGCACATGCACTGTAAGGCTTGTCTCCTCCTACAATATAAGTGACATTTATTTTCAATCACATATGAACTGAATAGACAGAACCCGTAGTCATTGGGAATTTTGTGATACCTTAATTCAAGGCTCCATACATTGTCAAGCTCCTTGCTTCATTCAATTCATATTACATAATACTTCCTCTTCCTGTGACCCATAGGCTACTAGTATCTTACCGATATACGTGGGGTCGTCCTCCATCTTAACAGCATGGCATATCAGCGCTTCGGGCTGGAATAAACCACAAACGTGTGCCTTTAGAAATCCACGTTAATGTCATTCTGTTTTGGGTAGAAAGCCATTCAACGTAATGTTGCACATTTATATCATATTGGCTAGCCTGCACAATATATAGTCCTGCATGCAGTACTAGTACTGAAATAACCAAGGTTTATATCATACGAATATAATGCAAGAATGTGCAATAAACTGCAAGTTTTCCTCCAGTATTTGGCTTGATCTAGCAAGAAGAGAAAACATATCGAACATCTAGTTGTGACCAGGTTTAGTTTGCAACACGAATCGTAACAACGTTATAGAAAACAAGTCATTAATCAATATGTTGCAAATATATTGCACCGTGGTACAACTCACATGCTCTGGGGTAGCGCCCGGCATTCGTAGAGTTTTCGTGAACGTTCCATCTTCCAAAGTCCAGCAGACATTGGCCGCCAACAGTAGCAGAGCAAAATAACAGCCCGCCATCTTAGATCTAACAATCATTTTAGCTACAAGCTTGTTACAGTCCTATGCCCTATTGTGTAGTCAGTGCCAAAGATAGGGACAGATCATTTAATACTTTCACGTCATCCTCTTGCTTTCCAATAACACAAGCAAATCTATTTCTCTTATACTTTCTAAAGGCCGTTCTGAAATTATCGACGATTATCATTTTTGTACTGGCCAGTGAATTTGTTTACAACAGAATTGTAGTGAATATTTTATGATTTAATGACTTTAACAGCACAGACGCGAGTTGTCCCTGGCATGTATGTTGTTACATGGTGGATATGACGCAGAAAAAAACACCTGTCTGTATTGTTTACTTTCCCATCGCACAACGTAACCTGGATGTCCGCCATGTTGAAAAGTACGTCGGCATAGTACATCGTGTTATCACAATCTACAAGCAGATGTAGAAGGACTGGCCGTTTATAACAGAAACGGGGCACCAGGAAAACGTCACAGTTTTGCCTCCTAACAACTGTAACCAAATGAAGTCTCCATGGCCGGTTTTCAAAATATTGTGACTTATCCCCAAGGATATGTTTCATTTAACTGTAATTTGAACAGTTCAAGAGTTTGAAAAGTTACTTACCGTTACCTTTTTGAAACTAACTATAAAAATTAGGGCCTTATTTGCATAAGTAATGCTACTATTTCTTTTGGACGAATTATAGAAATTTCACACTTGTGAAACATGTAAGTTACTACTAAGTAAAGGTGAACATAAACATAGCATACATCATGTAAATTTGATGTCCAACAATTTTGCAAACAAAAGATGTTTGAAGTCTGAAATCTAATTGAGCGTAAATGTTGTCAAAATATCTGAACACACAGATCAAGCTATACCAAAAAATTAAAACAATCTTTTATTCTTGTCCCTCCAGCAATAGGTAGGTTTGATACAAATTATGAAATATGTATAATACTAGTATATTTCATACTAGTAATTTGTATCAAACTGACTACATGTACATGTATAACTTGTTATTTGTTATTTTTGGAGGTATGTTGCCCTGTTTCAGAACGCAGTTTCTTTTTGACAACTAGCAAGAATTGATGTACACACAGATCTCATCCATACGATCAAAGGAGTGTGGCTAAGGCCACACCAATTTAATTTGTTGGTTCTCGGATTCGCCTCTTCATTTTTTCCTGATTTGCAAAAAAAAAAAAAATTTCAGAATCAACTGCAAAATACTCATATTTTGCCCTGAACAGTTGAAAACAGTCCTTTTCTTCCTAGTCGTTACAGTTATTCCATCTTTCAATGCAGTGGTATCATTAGAAGTTCAAAATTCATCGTTTAAATTTTGAACCAGCCTTTTGTGTTGACTTCATACCTCCTATCGTAGCATTTGGGGCTATATTAGGATGCCTAGATCTGTTTTTATTTTTATTTTTTTTCGCCCTGTCGCTTCATATTTTTCCTGAAAAATCCGAGAACCAACAAATTAAATTGGTGTGGCCTAAAGGTTAGAAAATATTCCAAAAAAGGAGTCAGTTCATAACCTCTCATTTTATCTGATAGCATTGTTTTTGTAAAGCTATTCCTGGCAATGTTGTGGTTGAGTCACATATCAGCACCAAGGACAGGTCCACAGAATTAGGCCATTTTTTATTTTTATTTTTTTAATGACGATTTACCACATTTGTGGAAGGATTGACATAACAGGTGACTATCACCTCTTCAAAGATGTCAACCCTGAGACCAGACTGTAAGGCTTGAACCACTCACAACGGGAAGGTCCCCTACAAGTATGTTGATTTGATTATATGGACGACATCCTCTGGGAACCCCAAAACTGATGCGAGCGCGCGAATAAAAAAAAGTTTTGCCAAAAAAAAAAAGTTGCTGTCATGAAATCTACGTTGTTATGAAGGTCGAACAAATGACACATGGTATGGCATTCTACGACGTTGGAATCGTTTTCAAATATTTTTTTTTGCAACTTTCGGTATATATTTGCTCATTTTGCAACTGTTTTGTACAATTTACAGTGTGGTTGGAAACGTTTTTTTTTTTGGACACGGCCAAAAATTCATGCGCGCGTGGATGTCATCCATATAATCAAATCAACATGGCCTTACAGAAAATACACTGTATTCAAAACCATGTGTGTACATATGCATGTTTTTTGGGCCACAAAATATGTCAAAGAAGAATAAAAAATTATGTGTAATTTGATATCATGATATTAGAAAAGTTCCTGTGATCTGTTGTCAATGATATATATAAAATACCTACTAATCTATTAGTGTCTAAAATTTTCTTTTGATAATGTACGTTAATGAATTTATTATCATATAATAGTAGATATTACCCCATCCACTTCATCAAATGTTACTATGGCTTTGTTTCCCATCCCCACGCTTCCCTTCAGATATACATTTAATCCACTGGGCCAGAGCAAACTTAGTCCCAGTGCTCACTCTCTCCTGGTCTTGTCTGGCCTGCAATGATGGTATCATCAGCATGGTGGTGCTCATGTACTCAGTTAGAGCTTGGCCATCTGGATTCAACACTGTGGCTCTATGGAGACAAGTATAATTATTTTATTTGTTAAACTCTTTGCAATTCAGGAGTTTTATCCCTGCTGTAAAGTTTACTTTTGGAACACAATGGAAGTTTGCATACACTGGTCACTGTGAAAGAGGTAAATGAAAAGAACAGTACTGGAAAAATATTAAAATTTTTCAAATTAACAACACTGAGTACTAGTATCTGAAGTGTTGACCAATTATTGTAAGATACAGGTTTGTGCATTTCTATTGTCTTTTTTTAGAGACACCATGACCATGAGTATGTAAGCCCTTTACTCACTTGAAGGTCTTTGGTATCGATGGACTTGAACACGTGACACCCTCCTCCTCCTGATCTGATGCAACAATAGCCTCCACCAGGCTCCTGTCCAGCCAGGCTGCCCCGTCCACCTCAGAAGCCTGCAGCTCCAGTCTGTCCTGCAGTACCGCCTGAGACTGCTGGGCGAGCAGGTGTACGTACACCACGATGTGATGGCGTTTGGGCAGGCCCAGGTTCAGCATGGGGGGGAACACTGACTGTGAAAGACGAAACCAGCATCAAGGTTACATGTAAAATCTCAATGATTGGTTACAAAATCATGTCAATGCTCAAGTTAAACTCATACTTAAAATCATTAAACTAACTGAATACATTACGTTGATGAAGGTTAGACATCCAGGTAAACGATACTCGTAAGAAAATTCAAACTCTACTACTGGATCAGTTACGGATTTTATTTATTTCCGGACGTTACGTGATAAAGCTTCTTACGGACCTGGTTGTTTAACCGGTTTTTCTAGTTACTTGTATATAAGAGTGAATCGGTTCTCTGTTCATTTGTGACGCTGAAGAAGAGTGATGGATGTCACTCGAAACGTCCGGAAATAAATAAAATCTGTAACTGATCCAGTAGTAGAGTTTGAATTTTCTTACGAGTACTGAATACATTGTTACTAATTGTGAAGCTTTACATAATTTAAAAACAGACAGTGTAAACTGGCCACACTTGTTGCATGCATAGCCTAATATATAAAATACTATAACAAAATAATTATATAATTGCACAAAACTTTGGAAAACTTGATAAACACCTGACAGTGTGTAAGTGGGGATCATTATGCCATAAATTTTTAGATTAGATATTGTTAGCAAATTGTTTCAGGTTTTTGATATATTTATTTTAGGTTCACCTGTCTTCATTGTTCTTTGTTTTGAAAAATACTAAAAAAAAAATCTCAATACGTACTTCCAGAAAGGTGTTGTTTTGACAGCTTATTCCTTGACAAATTCAGGAAAAAGTCTTGTTCTTGGAGACTGGAAATTATAACACTTCTAAATTTGCAGCACTTAAATCTCACTGTACAGGACCTGTCACTTGTATGTTACTTCAGTTTTGGTGATAACCAGGGCAAGTTGACTTGATGTTCGCCTAACTGACGATCACGAGACATTGCCTGAGGGAGGCAAAAGCACGAGGTTACAACCAACGTCATCCCACGTCATCAATATGTCGGGGGAGCCGGCCAGCAAGAACCACTACTAGTATTTCCTCTTCTTGCCTCCTTCAGGGAGGAATTATTTGTAGCACCTCACTGCTTACTAATCGGCTGCTAATATGCTACTTTGATGATGTACATGTAGGATAATGTCTGCTAGCACATAAAGAGGAGACTGTCAACTTCAACTGAAGTAGCTTAACTACACGCTCCATAGTACCTGAGTAATGTGTCACATATAGCTTGGGCTTTCAGAAAAGTGTGAGCAAATTCTTCTCCGTGGTTTCTACTATGAAGTTAGATTCTGCTACATGTATGCTGTAGCACATGAAGAAGAGACTGGAAACTTCAAAGTAGCTAAACTTTACTCCATAGTAACTTGTCACATAACGTCACAGCTGAGGCTTACACCAAAGTGTGACCAAATTCTTCACTGTCAGATACAGCAGAACTATTGCCACTGGCTATCTCACCCCTTCCATACATGTACATCGTAAGGTTGTGATTGAAGTTAGATTTGTTGGTTCTCGGATTCACACCTTCATTTTTTCTGATTTGCAAAAAATGTCAGGTTCTGAATCAACTCCAAAATGCTCATATTTTGACCCCAACAGTTGAAGGAAGTCCCTTCTCTTCAGAGTTGTTACAGTTTTTCCCATCTATCAATGCAGTGGTATGTTGACTTCATGGCTCCAATCATAGCATTTGGGGCTATCATTGGATGCCTAGGCCTATTTATTTACTTGTTTTTTTTTGCCCTATCACTTCATATTTTTTCTGACAAAATCCGAGAACCGACAAATTAAGATGGTGTAGCCTAAGGTTTGAAGAAACCGAATATCTCACAGTGAATGTAATAAGCCACCCTGGAACTCACACTGCCTGTCACTGTCGATAGTACTGATCAGAAACAACATCCACCAGATATATTACTGTATTGCAGTACAGTAAAACTATGGAGTGTTTTCACATGTTATCATTGCTATGTCTGCCGCCATGTTGGTGTCTCTATTTGCAGTGAGACCACAACTCAAGAATTGAAAAATCTTATGACCCTCGATCCAATAACCACTATTGAATGTCTATTACTTGAAGAAGAGAATAGCAGAGAATACTTAAAGCGCTTGCTGATGAGACACAAAAATGCTTGAGCTACAGTCCGTTGAATAAAATACTGGATAGACCAAGATTCTAACACAACAGCTTATATTAAGACATTTCAAGGACAATTTGGGAACAATCACTGGCATACACTATTTTGTTCTGAAATTGTTACTACCGGTATCACAATTTGGTCAGTCCGTGTGATCACTTTTTTTTCAAATCAGGGAGAATAATTTAGCTGAATCTGAGAAAGGATAAAATTAAATTTGTGTAGCCTTGAAGTAAGCATGTCCTTGAAGCTTGACTTCCCATGTGAAATGTGACAGGAAACCCCTCCAGTACAGGAGATAGTGGCAGTGCTAATAAGATCCTTGGGGAGGGCGTGTGCCGCCATGGTCTGCCAATGCCAGAACTTGACGTGCATACAAATTTTCCTGCGTGTTTGGTGTGGACCTAAGGCCACACCAATTTGTTTGGTGTGTTCTTGGATTTTTTCATAAAAAATCTGAAATGACTGCAAAAAAAAAAGAAAACAGGCCTAAGGCATCCTATGATAGCCTGTAAAGCTTCGATAGGAGCTGTGAAGTCAACATACCGGTTTACAATTCAAACAACGAATCTTAAATGTTTTGTCTAAGTAATGCATTGAAAGATGGAAAAACTGTTGCAGTAACAAGTAGGAAGACAAGGCACTTTCTTCAACTGTTGGGGCCAAAATATATTCAATTGAGCATTTTGAATTTGATTCAGAACCTGAAACTTAGTTTTCATCCTTTATCTTTTATTTGCAAGTAAAAAAAACTGAAGCAGGCAAATCCAAGACCCCACAAATCAAATTGGTGTGGCCTAATCAGAGCACACTTACTAGTGTGTAGCGCGTCACTGAAACGTTAGTCCATTTTTTTGCGTGCAAAGTAATATAACGTTACGGCCAATTTTGTACTGAAATTCTAGGTTTTACTTTAATTTTTGATTACCAATGCTCATCAAAACATGTTAATCAATTTAGCAGTTTGTGCCTTTATCTGTACAAAAACTCAATCCTGCCTTTTCATTGACGTTGAGTTGACCCTTGAGGTCGCAAGTTGATAGGGGAGAAAAGGGTCAACTGATGATACAACATACAAGGGTCAATTATACATTACCCGAGGAGTATACCTGCATTCAACTACACAGTTTGTAATACGTTATGAAATTGCATAATAAAAAAGAGAATTTCTTTTATAGAATAAAAAAATGGAGGTTGGGAAGATCAGGCAGTACTGTTTAGAGACCTAAGTAATAATATTATAAGGCACAACCCAATCTAGCCCTTGGACAGTCAATTCTAGATGTGCAGGCCCCAAGGACCCTATTGACTATGCAATGAAAGTTGGAGAACATATTATCAGATTTAAGATTGTGCTGGGTAGTATAGATTCTTGAATATGGAGGCCCTCTGGGTATTTTCAGACTGAAGAATGCTTGTCAATAAAATTCAATGACTGCATGTCTTCAGTAGGGACTGTTATCCTCCCTGCCGGTATAACAGCCTTCAATGAAAGTCAATCTTGTCAATGGAACATTGACTGCCTATCTTTAATTGGGACGGAAAATTCTTTTTAAATTCAAAAGCATGATAATCAGTAACACGGAGTCCTAGCTATTACAGAAATTAAGTCTAATACAGCTCAAGTTTTGTGACAATAGCAACTATGAAATTTGGTAATTAGGTCTACATGTAGGTCTGCCATTGCAATTAATTCTAATCCCACTGATTGCTCCAACAACAAAGACTAGATCTGCTTGAATGAAAATCTAATCTAACTTGTATTTGACCTTGCTGAGGCCACACAAAGGCCCGAGACCTGCCATTGCAATTAACTTTAATCCAGTTGATTGGTCTGACAGTAAGCCCTAATTTTCAATGAAACAGATACGACTGTTTGAATGAGGATTTAATCTTGCCATATTTGACCATGGAGTGGTATATATGTGACCTTCACTGTACCTCCCACAGCCCAAGGACGTCTCCGCGACACTTGGGAAGGTGAAGTCCAGTCTCCTCCTGCAGTTCCCGCCTGCCGGCCTCCAGCAGCTGTACATGTAGGAAACACTTCCATGACACCCATTTTCTGTACTAATTCCAAATGGCTCATATTTTTTCAGTCCAGGCCTTGAGAGGACAAAAGGTGCAATATATTGTTTACACCTGCAATGTATATGTAACAATCATCAAAGACTGACATTTTCACATTGTACAACTCAAAAACATCTAACAGGCTCCAGTTTAATATGAGACTTTTAGTTTAATTTGTGACTAATTCCCATATCTCAGCAACCGTACATCTAGATGGGCTAATATTGTAAACTATAGGTAAAAATAATGTAAGAAGTATATAGCAGCCATCGAGAACCCCTTGGGGATTAACCCAATTCTACAGAATTCTGCAGCACAGAATTCTGGGACCTGCAGCCAGAATTCTGCAGAATTCTACACAGAATTGGGTTAATCCCCAAGGGGTCCTTGATGGCTGCTACGTTTACATATTTCTATTTCTTACTATTATTTTTACTTAATATGGTTTATGATATCAGCCCATCTAGATGTACGGTTGCTGAGGTATGGAAGTAGTCCCAAATTAAACTGGAAGTCCCAAATTAAACTGGAGCCTTCATAAGTGAACTGAATTTGTATTTGCCATGATGTTAGAATGGATGGTGTGACTTGAAGCCATTCACTGGCAGAGCTTTTGGGTAAGTATTTTAGGCAAAGTGCCAGTTGGTTCTGTGCCAGGGACGACGGATGATGGTTCTCTATTAACCAGTGCCAGAGTCTTCAGCAGGAAAGCAATCATTATAGCAGCAGACTGGTGCCAACATAGGATGGATACTGACTGTAGCAGCAGTGTTGGTGAACATACAATTTGTTTTTACAAATCAAAAGGAACATGACACCTCTGTGTCTGTTATGAGCCAAGCCACATGGCACATTGACAACAAACAGTTACTCAAGCAACTAGATATGATATGGGAAATGTTTCAGGTAGCAACCACTACCTTTCGTCAGTGACACTGGTGAATTGCTTTCTCACAATTCTCCAGTGTCACTGACGAAAGGTAGTGGTTGCTTGAGTACATGTAACTGTTCTTTGGTGTATCGTATTACCTGGATGTCTAACCTTCACCGACGCATATGGCACACTGATAACAAACACTCACTGTTTCCCCCTGCTCTATGTGCCCGCCCGGCGGTACCCACACCCTGGGGAAGGTTCTCATGTGTCGGGCCCTGCGGGTCAGCAGGACGTGCTGGTCTGTGGTCTCCAGGACGACGGCCACGCCCACGTCCACACCCCTGTTGGCGGTGTCCGTTGGGAGGGAGGCAGCGGCCTCGGGCGACAGATGGGTGATGGGACAGAACACTGGGCGCTGGAGACAACAGCAAGGGGAAACAAGTTAGGGCAGGTTTACACACATTTTCAATAACACTAACATGTATAATGTTAACTTTTGCAGTTTCTTCTTCTTCCTCTTCTTCTCCAAACAAATCAAGTGGATGACCAGGACCAGATGTCTGTCATCATGGTAATTTGTGGTGATGGGTTACATTATGTAGCAGAACAGAGTTGGAGAGGCTGCTCACCCTACATATGAGCACTGTCCTTGGTGCTGATATTTCATTCAATGCAACAAACATTCCAACTCCTGCATCTGAATGACAATTGCTTCAGTTAGTGGCCATTTATTCATAACCTAGTAAAATTTTGAACTTTATTCCAACACAAGGGGTACACAGAGATCAAATTTTCAATGACTACTGTCGCCTTCATCAGGATATTTAATAACAAGTCACTTTCGAACGCAATGATTTGTGTGAATAAGTGACTGGTCATTAATCATCCTGATGAAGGTGACGGTAGTCGTTAAAAATATTTGATCTCTGTGTACCCTTTGTGTTGGAATAAAGTTTAACATTCTACTACTATGATTACTACCAACACAGATAAACTTTCATGATTCCTAACCTAAGGCCACACCAATTTAATTTGTTGGTTCTCGGATTTTTTCAGAAAAAATATGAAGCGACAGGGCGAAAAGAAATAAAAATAAAAACAGGTCTAGGCATCCTATTAAAGCCTTAAATGCTACGGAATGAGCCATGAAGTCAACACAAAAGGCTGGGTTAAAATTTAAACATTGAATTTTTAACTTTTAACCAAATCACTGCAATGATAGAAGGGAAAACTGTAACTAGTAGGAAGAAAAGGACTTTCCTCAACTGTTGGGGGCAAAACATGAGCATTTTTCAGTTGATTCAGGACCAGAATCAAATTATTTTTTTTTGCAAATCAGAAAAAAACGAAGAGGCGAATCCGAGAACCAACAAATTAAATTGGTGTGGCCTAATCACACCGAACATTGGTTCTGGTCCTGGTAGAGCTTTCATAGCTCCATCACTATTTCTGGGGCCAGATACACTTGCTCCAAATTTAATGTGTTTGACCCTGTAAAATTTTAACATAAGTTGTTACTGGTAGAAATGGCCATTGTAAGGTAAACTTATTCCAGGTGCTGTCCTTGGTACTGAAAGTAGTGTTTGCAGAAACATAACTGCCCCTTGTGCTGGCTACCAGTTATTCCAACACTACAAACTATCCATAGTGAGAGCTGTCCTTGGTATTTCTAACACAGTGCATTATGTATAACATTCACACTGACACTGTTGCCCCTGCAGTCACAAATCGTTCATATGATTCAATGTGCCATGGTTCCTGTGATTCAATGTGCAGAATGTCCTTCACACTATATACTGCATGTAAAGTGCTATCTGACATTTGCACCATCTTAAGAATGACAAACATAGACAGATATATAGATTTTTAGGTACTGCAGCTTGACAGTAAATATCATAAAGTCCTTAGGCTGTCAGTGCTTGACTGACCATGTATTCATGGTGACCACACTGCATGTACTCATCAAAACTTTTTCTGTTTGCTTTTCAGAAACAAAATATTTATTTTGACTTTTGTACCTCATACAAACTTGAAAGAACCATCACATAGAAATGGTGCTGACACAATTACTTTTTTCAGGGCAACTAATAGGTTTCCATCCTTGTTGTAGGAATTGTAATGTTAGGCCACACCAATTTCATTTCTCGGTTAACGGATTTTCCTAGAGAAATAATGGAGCGGGCGGGCGAAAAAAAAAAAAAACAGGCCTAGGCATCCTATTATGGTCCAAAATGGTACAATAGGAGCCATGAAGTCAACACACCAGGCTGGTCCAAAATTTAAACAATGAATTTTGAACTTTTAATGATACCATTGCATTGAAAGATGGAATAACTGTAACAACTAGGATGAAAAGGACTGCTTTCAACTGTTCAGGGCAAAATATGAGCATTTTGCAGTTGATTCTGAATTTTTATTTTATTTGCAAATCCAAAAAAAATGAAGCGGGCGAATCCGTTAACCAAGAAATCAAATTGGTGTGGCCTTATATCTTTATTCATAGAAGTCTTGTAGTATATGTTTCAGTGTAATCTTATTTAGATATGGTACTTGTACACTGACTTTTGGTATTTTAGACCTGAACCTAACAGATGTAATTTGTTGTAGCATTGATGTACCTGTACCGGCACGCAGCTCTAAAGTGAGAAAAAATGGCCCCTGGTACATGTAGGTTGGTTCTAGGATGATCATTTTGTAAGATAATTATTACATTGCCTGTCTCCTTTTCGGAAAAGTTCTCCTTCATTAAACTGCATACTCTGTTTTCACTTGTCTGAGTCTGTATGATAATTATATTTTTTTAGATGTACTTTAAATAAATAACTTTATGTTTGCGTTAACAATTAAAGTTTGTGGTCTGAGAAAAATGGACATGTTCGCAGAACTATGTGTTTGTGGTGGCACCTGGTACAGCAAAAAAAGTTGGCAGATTATTTGTCAACAGTAATGAATCGTGAATATAAAAGTACATAATTTGCAGTACCTTGAGCGGGACCAGCTCATCTTCTCTGTCTGTCTGGTACAGCACCAGCTGGTCGTCCCTCAGGGCACAGCCCACCCTCACCACATGGCTGCTCTCTGTTCCGCCAAAGTATCCCACAATGCTCTGGGAGGGTGAGGCAGGGATCGTAAAAATAAAGACTACAAACCCTCTACTGGTGATGTTGATACGAAACATATTTTGTGGATGTTTGAATGTACAAAAACATTAAACCATCGACATAATTTTTGACCAAAATATGAGATTCGAATAAGTGAAATACATGAAGTTTTTGCTGTCTAGAGGTGTGTATACTGTTACATTTCATGCCAATTTCTTGTATAAAATAATTGCAAATCCTGGAGACCTGTGTCCTAAATCTTTCTTTTTTCTCAGGTTAGAATGCAAAATTTGCAGGAGGAACACCTGTCTGGACCACTCAAGCCAATTTAACAGGGAGCTTTGCTCCATCAAACTGAGAATACACAATGTACAAATCTAGAGCTGTTGAGAGCCCTGGGCCTTCTCTTAGAAAGAGTTCCATTAACCTTTATAGGACACTGATTCAGAAGCATCTATTTAGCCATTCAGCTAAAAATACTCTTATTGGTTATGGGGGTTAGGCAGCAGGGAGAAGGTGAGTGACAGCATGTGGCAGGCACTCAACAGGGACCTGTGATGTGTGCTGACTGATTTAGGCCAGGATTCACAGCTAACATCTTAAACTGATAGGCGTAATTTCTCCACAGACCTGTTTACAGAAACTCTACATTTGATATTTATAGTTTATTTGTATATATCATGATTGTGTTAAAATATGCTATACAAAATAGTGTGTGCTTGTATTTGTCACATGTACGTATTTGTGTGTGTGTGCATGTTACTTATGTGTGCCAGTGCATAAGCACATGTGCTAGTGTGTGTGCATCTGTGTGCATGTGACTTATTCCCTGCGACCTGTTTACAGCCTTTCTCTCTTCCCCCTTCTCCCATAAATGCTGATCTACCCCTACTCACATCAAACCCCCCTCCACCATGAATCATGGTCTTTCCCTGAATCCTCCTCATTTCAATCTTTTTCCATTGACATTTATGTCTGAAGAGTTTGGGCACTGATGTCTACACATGAACTACCATGCTACCATGCAGTCATCTGTTGTTAAACACAAGTATGACAAGTCAATGCTGTAAAAAAAACAAGTCAATGCTGTAAAAAAAAAAACAACAACAATAAAGCATAAAGTACATGTACAGTTTCTGACAATATATGTTTCAGCCACAAAAAAAGTCAGATGCAGAGTCCATCAAAATTTTATTTTGAACTCACAAGCATACAGTGCAGAAAGTGGAGGTTTATACTGAAGGCACACAACAGTGAAAATGCAAACAGAAAAAGGTGAAGCCAATTGGGAAGTCTGCTGTTGGAAATGATGCCAAGCAGGTAAGAGGTATATATAAAGCACTGCTAGAATTTATTGCTATGTTCTGCATAGTGTCCACTCGTAATGACTCATTTTATAATAATAGACAACTTCTCTGATAAATCAACACGTCCTCTACAAAGATAATCATTCTTATTAAGTACTGGTCACTTACGGTACTCGTGAATACATTATGGACACACAAACAGTCACTTATTAACTGACTACAATTTAAGAGGTATTACCAAACAACTGACATAGTTGACTGAGAATATTTCAACACTGATTTTTATGTTAATATGCATGCATACAATCATTATGATGATGTGACTGAATATTAACATTTTTCATTTTGACACTTTCTGCACAGAAGCCAGCATCATTTCCAAACAACACAGAAGTAAAATGTACATGACTATCCCATCCAATTTTTAATAATGGAAGGCTGAATCGGTGCAAACCCACTCGTGATATGCAAATACTTGCAACATTAAAGTGACATACATATACATGTACAGTATAGCAAGTGTACACTAATTACAATATCTTGGCAAGGCATTAAAATTTTCTTGGATGGACTGATACAGACATTTTCAGGATTGTCACAGCCATAATAAAAAGAATGTGCATAAAATTCACAACCATCTATTATATAATATACATGTATTATATACACATGCCTTGTAGTTCATCTTTAGTTTTAAGAGCTCCATTTCTGAATAGTGTGATCAATATTTGAAAGAATGGCCTACGTGTACGTAGCACACAACATATTCAGGTTTCTTCAGTTCTGTATCTGTACAGCAGATACAACAGTACAACCCTTTAGCGTAACACACTGGTTAAGTGGTACCTAAATTTATCCATTTCTTGCGACAGTTTATCAATTAGACCTTTTCAACAATCCCATTGCATGCTGGGACAAGTGGTGCACCATGGGTAAAGTGGGCAAACATGCAAACTGTGTCTCATCCAGGTTGCCATGGTAACAATTTTGTTTACACTTTAAGCTACCCATAATGCCTGTTTCTCCCAGCATGCAATGGGTTCTGTGAGAAGGCCTGTGAAGTGGAATGTGAGCAGTTGAACTTGGTTTTCTTCTTGAGATCTTAATTCTACATTAAATTTTACTAAACCAAAGACTTCACTTCCTAAGATATCTTCTTTCTGAGTCATAAGACACTTTTATGACCAACAACAACCCACACATTGACATGTCATGCATAGCTTCATTGAATTACTCAATATGTCTTCTGACATTCAACAAATCGCAAAATTATCAGAGATATTCAAAATAGATGCGGAAAAATAGCATTTTTCTAAAAAGTCCACAGATACTTCAAGTCCTCTTAAATTTACAATTTTCTATAAGATAATTTGGAAATCAAGCCATATTTAAGTCATTGATCAATTTTTCTACAAGTGCAACCACAGAAGTATACTAGTCTGTCTCTATCTTGTATATCTAATTTCTTCAATAAAGTACCATACAATATGTTTCAAAGCTCCTTCTGTGTTAAACTTAAGCATAAATTTAAGTTAAGTTATAACTAGATTGAACAGCATACTTGAAAAACTTTCAAACATAAATAAATGCTGCCTTAAAAAGTTTCCTGTCTGGTTTCACTTGAAACTCATTACATATACATGTATTCTCCAAACAGAAGCTAAAAACAATTTCCTGTGTAACCTTGCATCCTGTGTAACTGTTTTAATCATAATTATCATAATCTAGATTATCTTTCAACATGCTGTAGATTTAACCGTTGTCAAGGTGAGAATAAGTCCATGTTGTACCAGTGAATTATATCTTTTTAAGTTACTGTAACACAAGTGCTATGTACTTGTACACGTACACATGTATATGTACCCTGATATATATACATTTGCTCTTAGCACATAAAAGTCAACATTACTCCCTCACAGTACAGAACAGTGCCACTCCATACATTAGTAACAATATCTTTGAGATGTCTTAAAAAAATTAATGATTGAGATCCCAGCATTTCTGAATATCATCAAACAAAAGGGATCAACAGAAAAATATTTTCTTCTGTTCTGACAAATATGTTCTTTATTACAATTGAAGCCACATATACTTTATAGATGACCTATACATAGTACAAATGTAATGAATATATACAGCTAAATGTGTTCAATTAGTAGTACTTGGTGAAAATACAACACAGCAAATTTGCATTACGTACTGTAACAGAAAACTAACAATTAACAGTGAATCTAAATCCACTTTACTTTAAATCTGGTGCAACAAAAACAACACACTTGTCACCACCTGATTACACTACATGAAAAAAAGAAACCGACTATAAAATTTGAAAATACAGTATAGGGAAATTGAAAACACCTGGTATTTTGCAGTGGTTGTATACAAATTAAGGAGATTTTTGCAATTAGCTTTTACGCAGTTCATTTACCAGTGAATTATATTATGCACATTTAGCATAAAGACACACACCAAGTGCTAAAATGCTGATTTTTTTCATATGAAGAATTCAGTCAAATCAGTCTGTATATACTGTACAAAAGTACTTTTTTAAGGTATAGATGAGTAGCAGCCACTGAAACAAGCACAAATAAGACAATATCATAATATATATCTCAAACTATGATACTTTGGCAGCATATAGACAAATTTTGCAGCATAGTTTTGGATGGGGTTGTATACATGTATATCCCCCAGTAGTACTTCTGAATCAATACTTACATCTCTTGGTTTGAACAGTTTGGTCATACACAGTATGTTTGACTCTTTGCTGTCCACAGAAATGGTATCATTCAACCCTAAAAATAAATAAATCCCTTACTAAAGTGGTGTGTAGTGCTGCCCCGATGCTTAAAGTTTGGTGTTGTTGTAGTTTTGGCATTGGTGCCATTTTCTGTCGTGGTAATCAGTTACATTGTGGTCAGTTACATTGCATGTGGAACCATGAGTGCCCGGCTAAGATTAGTGGCCTGAAGGGAGAAGCCAAAAGAGGGTTGATTTCATGTGACTGGCAGTTGAATCTGCTTGTCTAAGGTGTCCGAATAATCAATGGTCAACAAATCAGTGCATCATTGATGCTAATTTGCAAAGGATCTGGAATGGCAATTTTTTTTAGCATAAATGCCTAAAATGCCAGACGAATTCAGCGTTAATCCAGCATTACACACCACTTTTGCGATACGATCATGCTTACCACTAGCTTTCATGAGCTAGTCATCATCTTCTACATTCTTGGAGGGATTCTCCTCATCAGAAGTCTTGGCTGTCAGTTTCGAGACGTCTGCGATCTCCTCAGAGGAAGAGCTTGAGTCGTCTTCTTCTGGCTTAACATCGTCTTCTTGGACTGTCTCTCCCGAGGTCTCCTGGATCTGTGATGGTTCCTCATCCTGGTTGCTGCCTGCTTCTTGCTCTGCATTGTTTTCTGGTACTTTGTTCTGGAAACGTTGTTCATTATCCTCCTCTGAGATGTGGGATGCCTCTTCCGCTGCGGGCTCTTTTTCATCAGCATTGTTTTGGTCACCTTGAGTTGTGACAGCAAATTCCTCCAATGTCTCTTTTGATTCTTTCTCTTCATTTCCAATTGGTTTCTCTTTCTCAATTTCTGATACCGTGTCACTGAACACATCATCTGTTTTGCTAATGTTACTTGAGGCTGTAGGATTCTCCTTTTCAACAATCTTCTGCTTTTCAGATAAGACCACTCTCTTTAGAAACTCCATAACTTTAACCTTTTCTGCAGGCTCAGTTTGCGGTGCTGCGTCCCCGCCGGCCTGCTTTGGGTTAGTTTGCTTGGTAAAGGCAGTGATGAGACGAGCTAGAACCTTCTCCTCAAACCGCCGGGGGGGAATGTTGGGAAGTTTAGCTACAGTTTTCAGGATGTGCATCAGCGTGTGCTTGTGTCCCTTCTCCAGTTGTTCGAGTGCTTCGTGAGGATTGTCTGCCATCTCGACTAGATTACTGATGTCTTTGTCACCTAGGACTGGCTCCTTCAACTCTTCCAGCCACGACCACATCAGGCAACTCAAGACTCGTGGACACTTCTCCACCTTCAACCTCTCCCATGCTGCGTCGTCTTCGTTCAGCTCTGCCTGCCAAACCTCAACTTCCTGATTCACATTCTGGTCTGTTGACATGTCAAAAGCCATGGCAGTGGCCACCTTCTCTGCTGCAGACATTGAGTTTCTCGGAGAAAGCGCAACGGGCTCCTTCTTCTCACTGTTTATTGCCTCGCTCTCTGACTTCCTTTTCCTTCGATCTTCCTTCAGTCTCTGCAAGGTGCTCTTTTTCTTCTTCAGTCTTGGCCTAGAAGATCCGTTCTCAGGCAATTCCCCTGACAACGAAGAAGAAGTAGAGCCGTCCTTGCCCAGATCAGAGTTGCTGCTATAGTTGCTGTCTGAGGAGGTTGATTCCTCCCCTAAACTTTGTTGTTGTTGTTGTTGCTGTGAGGCAGTAGTACTGGTATTTGTTGTTGTGGTTGTTGCGTCTCCACCACCTGGTGCGCCTAAAACGGAGTTGTCAGATGGCGGCGTAAAAGGATCCGATTCCTTTTCTTACATTATTCTTTGTTAGAATCCTCTTGATCAGCCCTCTCCTGTTGCCTTGGTACCGCGATGTCTTCTATGGTGTGATTCGCTTAAGGCTCTTGACACGCGAGGCTGCCCTTCTCGGGCTGCAGAGAATCCTTTACGTTTGGCAAGTTATTAGCAAGTTGTGATGAAGGCACCTCTTCAAGAGACAATGCCGAGATGGTGGTGCTGTCTGGGCTGGCCCCTTCTTCGGTGTTATCAAATGCAGCGGGGGCACACTCCTTGATTGCCTCGACGACTTGCTCCTTTGAGAGAGTCCGGCGCAGACCAGTATGGCTTCCTGCGTTGCTAGCAACGTGGGCTTTTGCTGCCAACAGCTTGCAGACCACGTCGACAATCTTGGGGATGTACTTCAACTCCCGAGCTTCAAACCCGTGCAGGTAACGCTTCTGCCTGCCGAGATACTGGTTGAAGGTGAAGGGAGAGGAGATTGGGTCTTGGGACGGAAAGATGACTCTGAGCGGACGGATATACTGGGAGAACTCCTGTATACACTGGATCTGCCCCCTGGTTTGGATGGCGTTGGACCTCTTCTCCCTTACAAAGTGGATGGCCTGATGGGGGTTGAGTCGTTTTGCCCAGACCAAGTAGCAGCCAATCAGGACGCCCGTACGCCCCAGCCCTGCGTGACAGTGAATGGCGACCTTGCCCTCCTCCATAGCGAACGACATGACCTTGACCATGTCCAGGATGGTGCCCAGCGATGCTACCCCGTAGTCCTTCCACCCAAAGTTGTAGAAGTAGATGTCGTTCTCCATGAAGTCCTGAGGGAGATAGGTGAAGCCGCTTTCCGGCTCCAGTGCATTGCCACAGCTGGCATGTTCAAATGGCCTCTGTAGGTTGACCACAGATTTGATCCCTTGCTCCTGGAACTGTTCGATGATGTTGTATTTTGTAATGATCTCCGTTGAGGGCCTTGCCATGGCCAAGATGTCGTCGGTGACCCATGATGAGTAGAGCCCTTTCACGGCTTGATCCTTAGCCGGCCATTTTGCAGGGTTTTCGTATTTGCAACCCTTTCCCCCACAGAACATTGAGCACTGGATGTGGCCAGGTGTAACATGCCGGAGGCCCTCGGATATCTTGTTGTATTTAGCAGTCGGAGCGTTTACCGGGTGTATAGTGGGCACGGACATCGCTGACGGCGTCCACTTGATTTCTCCCGGCTGGGACGACATCCTCACTCACCGTTTCCTCACGCAATCCTTATTAAGACCTCTCAGGTACAAGACAATCTGGCCGTTTTCATCTAGTCGTCTGTGTAGCAGCCTGTCAGCATCCAATTTGTTGCAGTCGATACAGTCTATGCACAAAGACAGGTGAAACATCACAGATTAATAAGGAGGCTTCTATGCAAGACGTGTGCCACATAATAATGAGCTGTGTATTACGGCGCCGTGCCTATTAGATATAATTCTCTACCTGTACGTGCTGGCAGTTTAACGTATGACAATTGTGCAAGGTAGGGGCCCCTTCATAGCATCCTGAATGCAGAACAAGTAATTACAAAAACGAGTAAGTGATAGATGGAAAGTCAACAGTCATAAATGTATGTCTGGAATTGTATGGTACTGCTGAGAGTTATCTGAAACACATTTTGGAAGTAAATGAGATGAAAAATTTTCTAAAACGTAGATAATGATTAGCCTTTGCAGGCTGTATATAATATAACAAGCTTGACTCAATTACAATCATCATGTAGTATTTATATGTACTACTGTAGCTACTAGCTAGCTATATATATCTCAGAGACACATCACAGTCAGGACTAGAATTCTCAACAATGTTTCCACAGCCTGGTAATCCGTGCACATTCACCAGAGCGTGACAGCACGGAGCAGAATAAATGCTGCGAAAAGAATCTAATTACCAGTGTAACAATCATCAAACTCACGTGTCTCCTAATACAGACAAGATGTCTCCTGCCACATTACTCCCATTTAATTAGACCATAATACAACATACAACACACATTCACCTCACAAATTCTATCATGCGTGCCTTGAATCAAGACAAAGAGCTTACTATCTCCTTATACGGTTGACTGGGTTAGAAGCTAATTTTCCAGTATGAATAAAACAGAATTAAGCCAGCCAATGGCAGCTGCAGACTGATGTATGAAGAGATGATCCTAATTATATTTTATATTGGACCAGGTTTCCATTTTTGCCAATTTGCTACACCAGGTAAATGTATAAAGGATCAGAAAACTGCTTGCCTGAAGGAAGAACCCAACTGAGTGTGTGATTTATATACTTTGTAGTGGAATACATTTGATCTCCGGATCTGACATTGCCGTAATTGGAAAAATAAACCATTCAGTTAGAAACCGCATTGGGGGGTTACTTTATAGTAAATTTGATTTTCAAGACAGTACAATTGTATCTATTGCAGATCAACAAGCATAATAATATAAGTGCAGTCTTATCTTAAAAGAGTGTCACTGTGAGTTCAAAATTGTAATTTTCAGTACAGTAAACTGGTATATATATATAAAGCTTAAGCATTTTGGCCAATTCCCAAATTTATTAATTCAGGAGTTCCTGAAGGGCGATCAGTTTAGATTTTCATACTTCAAGAAATGGTTAACAACCATTTCAAAAATTTGCCAACGGCATTCAGCTATATCGGATAATGAATTCTCAAGGTGCTATAAGCCCTGATAATACTGTATATCTCCATATTACTTGGCTGATTAATCTTCTTGTAGCTTAGCCAGCTTAAGTCACACAATATTCAATTGCAAGGCACAAAGTAGGGGTAACTTAACTACATACTAGTATGTTTCTGATTGAAGAGAAGGATCAACTACAAAATAAAATGTACATATCCTACATTTTGGGCTCAATTGTCACAAAATGTGATGAACATGACTTCTAGAGGAATGAGTTAATGCATTTAATTTGTAATTGTAAAGCTAGAGGTACATGTATAATAAACTAGGTACGTGATAAGGTCTGTCATAATTCTGCAAGGTTCCCTATTAGAAGATTGTCACAGTCACACACACAAAAAAAAAACATATTAGAATACTGATAAAGAAATCTACTAAATGCAACCTTCTTCAGAACTTCTTCAGAATGTCCTGAACAGCTGGGGTTTTGAAGTGTACATTAGTAGGGGATTACTTGATGTGGCATTTTATATGTAGGTCTCTTTGATTAAATTAAATGGGTAATCTGTCTTGTGGTATCCAGTGGGATTTGGGGAGTTGGTGTTATCTTACATGTAAGTCTTGCGTGACTTGTGTTTTGCCCACAAATGTATGTGTACTAAAGTACATGTACTCAATACAAAATGCATGTATCATTAATCACTATTATTAATAATATGTACATATAGAATACAACACGGTGTATTCCGTATCGCCCGAGGTACCAGCCCGACCGCGGGTCGGATCGCCCGACGGCCGCAGGCCGGAGGGCGATCCGACCCGCGGGAGGGCTGGGACCGAGGGCGATGCGGATACACCGTGTTGTATTTTATTTATGTCATCCCTGGGCTGCGAAAGCGTTGATTTCATTGCCAAACTACTAAAAAAAGGACACAAATTGAGACACTGATGCCCTGTGTCACTGCAACAACTTTATTCTTAAGAAGAACAATTCGAGAAAAGATTCGAAAAAAGAACCATGTTCGATTGCACCTGTGCATTGCTACTGTGCATGTTCAACAAGATGTAACAGTTCAAAACATGATGTAACAGTTCAAAACAGTCATTCAAAGTCACTGTGTGTTGATTTGTTGAGTCGCTTGTGCGCTGGAGGATGCACATGTGCCGCCGAAGTTGAACGTTCCCCCTTGAATAGAAGCGCCCGCGAAGTTGATCTGAATCGTCGGCTGTGCTGAAGGGCAGGTCGGCACTGTAACGTTAAGTACAGGCGCTTCGCAGGTGTTTCCAGTGCTAGTGAGAATGTCGCACATCTCCTTCTGCTGATCTTCAGTAGCGCACGAATAGTTATTGACAGACTGTAGATTTCGGTGTCCAGATAGCTGAACGATCCGAGTCGGGGGGACATTGGCTGCCACCAAGGCTTGCATCATAGTCTTACGAGCACTATGATTTACCTTCCGGCCGGCGAAGCCCGCCTTTTCAGCCATAGTGGACATGATGGTCCCTATCTTGTTCTTCCCCATCGGGGCGTTGATGAACCACACCTCTGATCCCGGCTTGCGCGCTCTGTTGATGCCCAGGTAAAAGGGGGCTGTCGGGTGCATCTGCGTGATTGGGCGTCGCTTCCTGTATTCTCGGTACAAGTTGACCGGGCAGGCTGGACTTTCTGGACAGGCATAGGCTCGGGGCTTAAATGGCCGGGAATCAGAAGTGATGCCGGTCCTTGTCTTGGTTGCACGCTCGCTGAATTCCAGCACAATGCGGCCTTGACTGTCAGTCGTTTCCTCTACGTCTCCCCAAAGCATGTTGCAGTGTTCCGTCCTGGACCTCATCCCAAACAGCATTGTGTTCTTCAGCCAGAGTCCACTGATTAGGCTCTCTGGGTTGTACGGTCCGATAAGCTTCTTCTTTTCCAACATTTTCTCTTCGGCTGCGCTTAACGGGTCGGCACGGTTTGGCTTATTGCCCTCCCTCCTTCTTCAAGCTCTTCCGCTTTGCTACAAGGCATTCGCGAGAGTGGGCAAACGTCTTGTCAACAAGGATGTCTTCTTGATACCCCTTTTCTCTCAAATACCTGGCGATTGATCGATGTTTGCTTGTAAGGCTGTCTGGTTCATAGTCTTCTCCATTGTCCTTTCGTATCCCGAGAAAGAACATTCCCAGCCTCTCATCCAGTTCTGCCGCCGAGATGTCCTCTGGCCTCCTCTCCTCTCCATTCGCCCCCAGAAACAACAAGAAATGCTGGATATCAGATTCCGTCTTTCTTTTGGTGTTGGGATTCTTCTGCTGCTCGATGTAAGTTGAGCTTGAAACAGTATCATAGCCTTGAAAGACAATACGTCTGTTCATCTTGGATGCCGCCATCGTAAAAATGTAACAATTTGGTTCGAGAACCCGGCGTTCGGACAACGGCACACCTGGCGAAACGCGTTCGAACTATGCTATGGAACATTTGGAAGGCCCGGGCCGTACGCCTTAAGAACACCCGGGCTGTACCGCTAGTTATCACACGGGCCGGAACACCCGTATCGAACGTAATCGCGGCCCAGGTAGGACATAAAATGCCATATGCATCCTGATCATGTACATGGAGAACTAAAGCACTAGAGGGTGCATGGAGATGACTGTGATCATGTTTTTACTTTTAAATTTTACAGCCCTTCAACAGCCTAGAATTAATATCATAGAGTTAGATAAATAAATCATGACTATTTCTAGGGGATTAACTCAAAATTTCTAATAATACTTCGCTCCAATGAGCTCACAAATGTGCACACTTTATACTGGAACATATAAGTCAATGCATAAGTAACACATTTAACAATGTATAGTCCATGGCCATTGAATATAACCAATTGTATAATTTGCAATTCACAAATACACAATGACATGCCTAAATTGGTTTGAAGAAAGCTGTTTACAAGAGAAAATATGGACACAAATTCTTTACACCCGCTTTGGTGCATTGTATTAATTAAATGACACTTTTCAGACAGATGAATGTAGTCCCAGTGACAGATACATTTACAATCATGGCAATATCCTTGGGGACTTTTTTTTTCTGAATCAGGATTAACTCTTCTACTTTACACCTTTAGAGACTTTATTAAAATCAGAAAATGGTATTTCATAGACAGGCAGAACTGTAATTCATGACTAGCTGTTGAAGTGGTGGAAGGAATTTACTAGCGATGGGCTGCCTTCGAAAACCATGCATATGCCCAAGATGCACGTGCACGTACAGTGTGGATTAACTAAATACCTGTAACAGTGGGGGGTTTATAGGCGCTACCAACAGATCAGGCAAACGGGTCTAGACCTTTTAGCGGAGAGGTTAGAGTGTCTGACTGGTGCCCGGGTTTGGTCGTGGGTTCGAACCCCGGCCCGGGACCAGAAGGGTTTTTACTGTCTCCTCCTGTTTCTTACATACCAAATGCACCTACAGCCTCAAAAAGGCTATGGCACCGTTACCTTTACTGTAATTAGCAATTTCATAATTCAATCTTTCTCCCGATCTGTCTTCTACACTGTGTATAAGTAAGAGGAATTACATACAGATTATATAACACAGTGTATTCTTTATCACCCGAGGTACAAAATGTACCAGCCCGACCGCAAGTCGGATTGCTCGAAGGCCAAAGGGAGGGCTGGGACCGAGGGTTAGGCGGAATATACCGTGTTGTCTTTTA